TGGGTGGGGGCTTACACTGTTGTACCCCTAGGCTTGGGGCCCCCTGCTCTGAAGAAGGTGAACTTAGGCAAAGCACCGTCTATCACATTGTCTTTTTTTTCCTTAAGATTTATGTATGCATGCAAGAACTGGGGTACAGGCCAGTGGTGCAGGGGGTGAGGGGATTCACCAGAGACAGAGTGGGGAGCAGACAGGCAGATTCACGATGTCCACTGCTGAGGGAGCAGTAGATGAGACAGGAGAGGTCTGCCGCGCCATGTGGGTCAGCTCCCCGGTCAGGGGTCGAACTCGTGTTACAGTGGCCGCTGTAGCTTGATAGTGATGTGACTTTAGCCCCCGCACTGCCAGGGAGGCCCCAAATTAACTTCCCTGAGGCCCATCTCAGCTCCCTGTTGGGAAGGCCCCTTTCTCTCCCCGTGACCTTATCTCTGACGGTGACTGAGTAGGAAGAGCTCTAGCATCTGGTGCTTCCCTCTCGGACACCTGGGCCTGCCCTGCCTGGCCCCCAGGGGGAGGATCTATTTCCTGCAGCTGGTTCCTGAGGGCCACATTGCTGCTGGCCTGTGGGCATCATAGGGACCTGGAGGGAAAGTACCATGTTATCGTGACCACCGAGGTGGCTTTGTCATATAATTCAGGAATGCCAGGCTCTGCTCAGGAGAGATCTGAGTTGAACTCTGGGTCACTCTCTCTCTCTGACCAGGTCTCAGGGTGTTCATATCATTGAACTAATCAGACCAATGACCTCCCACCCCCAGAAAGCTGACTCTGAGCCCCACAGTGAGGCCAGAGGGGTCCGTCCCTGTCCCAGGCACCGTGGGGGAGATGGCTGTTAGTGGCCACCCATCCAGTGTTGTGAGGAAGGTCCCACAGGAACGGGCAGATGAGCAGGAGGGGTGTGAACAGGGACCCCTCATCTCAGCCCAGGGGAGGCGCCAGGCAGTGCAGCGGCCTTGGCACAGATACTCGGTGCCCTCGAGAAGAGATGGTCCTTGTTATCAGCATGAAACCACCTGGGGAGAGTTGTCAGACTCTGAAGTTAACCTGCATTCTGGGAGGGGACAGATGCCTTGTTAAGCACCAAACAACTTGTCACCATGGCCTGAGGACTGTGACCCACGTATCACAAAATGTGAGGTGAAGGGTTAGGGCAGAGTTGATATCATCCTGGACTCAGCCCAACCACAAATTCTCTCTATCTGTTTAAGGAAATTTTATTTTAAAATTGAAGGGGCCCTCCCTTGTGGCACAACGGATTAAAGTACAGCACTTCATGTGAAGCTAGTACTTTCAGCCACTTCCGTGGGAGTTTGACCCCCAGCCAGGGAGCTGACCCCCATGGCGCGGCCGATCTCTCCTGTCTCCCTGCTGCTCCCCTCAGCAGTGTGTTTCAGTAGATCTGCCTGTTCTGCTCCCCACTCTGTCTCTGGTGAATCTTCTTACCCCCCTGCACCTCTGGCCTATACCCCAGTTCTGTATGCATAAATAAATAAATCTTTAAAAAAATAAAATTGAGGTGACTGGCATGGGGTGTTGTCTTGTTAACTTGCTTCCTTCTGAAAAGGGGTGAC